GTGGCTCACGCCTGTAATCCCAGCACTTTGGGAGGCCGAGGTGGGTGGATCACGAGGTCAGGAGTTCAAGACCAGCCTGGCCAAGATGTTAAAACCCCGTCTCTACTAAAAATACAAAAATTAGCAGGGTGCGGTGGCAGGTGCCTGTTATCCCAGCTACCAGGAGGCTGAGGCAGGAGAATCGCTTGAACCCGGGAGACGGAGGTAAGTGAACCGAGATCGCGCCACTGCACTCCAGCCTGGGTGATAGAGCGAGAATCTGCCAATAAATAAATAAATAATTTTTAGCTGAGTGCAAAATGGTGGGCACACTGACAGCACCTGTACAACCACCAGTAAGACCCAAAGCGGCTACTCAGAAGTGAAAACGGTTGGGGCTATGAGAGGAAGGCCGGGGTGGGTTTTTCCAGAGATCAGCTGGGCCTTCCTTTAATGTTGCTGCTCTGATGCCCTGGGAGCTTTCTGGGGACGTGGTGGGAGCAGCTGACAAGGCCAGAACTGTGGCCCCGATTCCTGGTATGATGCCTTCAAGGTGTGTGCGTGCGGGAAGGAGGGAGAGGGTGGTAAAGCCAACGTTTTCATCCAAGAAGCAGAGGCTTAGGGGAGGAAGGAGATGGAACAGAGGCCCTGAAAATTTAGAAATGCAGACCCATGTTTCCCCTGCCCTCGCCTCCCACGGACCCGCCCCTCAGCTCCCTCCCGCGGGCTCCCAAGCTCCTGGGCTCCTGGGCCCGGCGCCGGCGGAGAGGGGCGGAGCTCGGGACCCTCTCTCACCCTCCGACCCGGGGAGGGGCGGGGCCTACGGGAAGTGGGCGGAGCTGGCTTGCGGGGCGGAGCCTCGCCGCTCTGTGAATCGCAGGTGTGCTTGCTCCCGGGCTGGTGGGCTGGAACGTTCTGCCTCGCCCAGCTGAAGGCCCTAAACTTGCTACGCCTTTTAGGGTTGAGGAAAATCCATTAAAAGACGACTCCAGCAACCTCCCATATGCAGGGATTCTTGTGTTCCCCTGGAAAGTCTCATATAAAGTTAGACCACAAACTCAAGGGGGCAGAGCAAGTCACTGGCAGAGCAGGGACTGGAACCCGGTGTCCTGATCCCCAGGCGAGGCCGGCCTTAAGAGCTGGCGCGAGGGGCAGGACGGGGTTGGTCCTCCCAGGCTGGGGCGCAGCGAGGCACACCCCGAGTGAATTTGGATGTTTTTTCCAGGCACATGGACATGTGAAAAGAGACTGGCAGTGACTGACCTGGACTGGCAGGTGACTTTTTTTTTTTCCCCTCAACGTTTTATTTAAAAATTTTTCGGACACAGAAAAGCTGAAGGAAAGGTTGGGGAGACACCCATATGCCCGCCACCTAGATTCTACAGTTACATTGTGTTGCATTTGCTTTGTCACACATCAGTCCAGCCCGCTATCAGCTCTCGGTCTCAAATGGTTTTAAGGTACCTTTTCATTTAATTTATTTATTTTTTGAGACGGAGTCTCTCTGTATTTCCCAGGCTGGAGTGCAATGGCTCGATCTCTGCTTACTGCAACCTCTGCCTCCCGGATCCAAGCAATTCTCCTGCCTCAACCCCTGGAGCAGCTGGGACTAGAGGGGCCCGCCACCATGCCCAGCTATTTTTGTATTTTTAGTGTAGACACGGTTTCACCATATTGGCCAGGCTTGTATCGAACTTCTGACCTTGTTGTCTTCCCGCCTCAGACTCTCAAAGTGCTGAGATTACAGGTGTGAGCCACCACACCTGGCTACCTTTTAATTTTTTAAAACCCACTTCCAGCTGGGTGCGGTGGCTGGCCAACATAGGGAAACCCCACCTCTACTAAAAATACTAAACAAATTAGCTGGGTGTGGCAGTGCATGCCTGTATTCCCAGCTACTCGGGAAGCTGAGGCAGAATAGCTTGAATCTGTGAGGCAGAGGTTGCAGTGAGCCAAGATCACAACACTGCACTGCAGCCCAGGGAACAGAGTGAGACTCCGTCTCAAAAAATAAAAATAAAAATAACCTCTGTGGCAATATTCAACCTCTACATACATCAGGAACTCGATCAGTCATGATGGTTTTTCACAGATGCCCTCGCTGGCTTTTTTATCCTGGTCGCTGCTTCTGGAGCCTGTGGCCAGGGCTGGAGGTATCAGAGCAAACTGCATGGCTGTTTCCAGCTGCTCAGGGCCACAGCCTTCGATCAGCCTGACAAGGCCTCCCAGGACACACAGCAAGGGCCTCCCAGGACACCCACACCCTGTCCTCTCTAAAGACACTCACAGGATGCCTTCTGGGGTTCAGGGAAGTCAAAGCTGCTACTCCTTGGGTGTGGCAGGAATCTGTCGTCGCCGCCGTGCAGGGAGCACAGACACCTCCGAGAGGTTAGCACTCAGAAAAGCCTGGCCCAGGGACCCAGCACACAGCGCCGCACCCCCGCTGCACCCCCGCCACGCTCCTGCCACGCTCCTGCCACACTCGTCTTCACCAGGAAAATTTAAGTCACTAGATCCCAGCCTGTATCATCCCCGCTCGAAGGGGAAGACAGAGGGGAGACAGAGTCCCAGGTCTGCGGCTCTGATTTTAGACTAATGTTTTCCCAAAAGGTCACACCCCTCAGCTCCTTCCTCATGCAAGTGCGGAAAGGGGAGGCTGGCAGCTCTTTCTGGCCTGCCTTCAACCCTGTCTTCTCATGCCAGCCCTCCACCAGTGCCCAGTAGCGACTTCATTGCCATTGCTTACCCAGACCATGGCAATAGTGACCTCACCTGTTTCTTGCCCCTTTCCTGGTGGTTGCATTTGCTTTGTCACACATCAGTCCAGCCCGCTATCAGCTCTCGGTCTCAAATGGTTTTAAGATTCCTTTTAATTTAATTTTATTTATTTATTTTTTGAGACGGAGTCTCGCTGTATTTCCCAGGCTGGAGTGCAATGGCTCGATCTCGGCTTACTGCAACCTCTGCCTCCCGGACCCAAGCAATTCTCCTGCCTCAACCTCCCGAGGAGCTGGGACTACAGGTGCCCACCACCATGCCCAGCTATTTTTGTATTTTTAGTGTAGACACGGTTTCACCATATTGGAATCTCCCCACTGGGTGCAGGATACAGTCAAACACACCACGGGTCTGCCCCCATGTGCCCTGCCACCCCAGTTATTGTCTCCTTCCCCCACAACTCCCAAAATGCCAGGCCGTCTGTTGCATCCCGACGGCGCCATGGATGCCATGTTAACATCTGTGACCTGCACGGACACTCCGGATGAGTTCCTGGAAAATCTGAAGTAACTGGAAGACCATGAAAAGCGGAAGAAATGATCAACCCCTGCGCCTCCTTGACTCTGACATTCTCTATTGTTCTGTATTCCTGCCCCAACTGACAAAGCCATTGGACTTTGTAACCGACCTTGATCAACCTCGTGACACCCTAGGACCCCCTCCCAGCTTGCAAAAAAACCGCCCTAAACTGTAACTTCTGTAACTTTCCACTGCCCACCCCAAACCTATAAAACCAACTCCTATCCCACCGCCCTCCGCTGACTCCAGACTCAGCCTACCAGCACCCGGGTGAATAAACAGCCAAGCTGCTCACACAAAGCCTGTTGGGGAGGTGGGGGGGGGGGGTCTCTTCATTCAGAGCGTGCGTTTTAACACATCCAAGCTTTTGCTGTCACCCCACTGGCAAGTCCTTTCATCTGTGAAGTCTGCTGCCACCCTCATAGAAGCAGAATCCAGCAGGGCGCACAGGACCGGCCACACACAGTGCGGGCTCGGCGTTCAGGGCTGCCCTGCTGCGTGGCCCCAGGGCATCTGCTCAGACCTCTGTTCAGCGGGGCTTTCCCTGCGCTTAGCTCTTCCCATACACACACAGGAGGCAGCGCGCCAGCTGAATGGACCCACAGAGAAGCTGCCTGGAAGGAACTGTGAATCTGCCAGCACCTACCGGGAACAGCATGAACGGAAGCAGCGCGGGCAGGAGGCAGAAGTGTTGAGAGCCGCGGGCGCCCCTGGAGCTCAGCTGAGCCGGACCCGGAGAGGCTGCCAAGGAGAGAGGCTGGCTGCACCCAGTGAGAGCAGAAGCCGGGCAGAGGGCTCAGGCCGCGAACCGCCGTCCTCAGGTTCTCACTATTCCCTTCAGGCGGTGACTGTGTGACCGCAGACGGTCACTTAATCTTGCCAGGGAGGGCCTCAGTTTCCTTGTCTGTAGAATGGGGTTGGAAAGGCCTGGCCGGGAGGTCGCAGCCAGATAAAGCCGAGCGCTGTGTTAACGCTCCGGCTTTACAGACAGAGGAGATGTTCCTAGTGCATTGCACCGTTTTCCCTCGCAGGACAGAAGCTCCTGACCTTCGCCATCGCTCCCGAACAAGCAGGGAACTTCACACCGATGCCTGAGCCACGGTTTCCACTGCGCCCTCAGCGCCACCGTCTCGTGCGAGCCTCGCAGCTTCCACGAGGGGGCAGCCCAGGCCTGTCATCGCCCCACGGCCTGAGCGGCTGCGGAGGCCACGTGCAGTAATGAGGGAGGGTGGTCCCCAGGAGCCCCGGCTTTACTTCTTCCCCATCCCCTGCCCTGTGCGGAGGACTCCGGCTGCTGAACTGGGCGTGGCACCTACTCAGGAACGCTCTGCGCCCCAGCCCCAGGGCTCAGATCACACACACACACACACATACACACACACACACACACACACACACACACACACGGCCCGCCCCTTCCTGGGAGCTGACGGTTCCCAGGACGACAGTCAACAGTCAACACAGGCTGGCGTTCAAAATGCAGCTGAGCTCAAATGCTCTCCCCAGCCTGTCCCCGTCAGCCACTCTGAGCTCGGGGCCTAAAGGGACAGTGAGGAGGACCCGGCCCAGGCTGTCCCGGGGTTAGAAGGGAGGGGGGTGTTCCAGAAGGAGGTTTGGCTGAGCTCAGGCATAAGCACACACCTTTCTCTGTCTCTCTCTGTCTCTCTCTCTGTCTCTCTCTGTCTCTCTCTCTGTCTCTCTCTGTCTCTCTCTCTCTCCCTCTCTCTCTGCCCCCCTTTCTCTCTCACACACACACACAGAGACACACACTTGCACCCATGGGAAGCCACCCCACCCCTGGGCTCCAGAGAACCACATCAGCTGGGTACCGATTGCCCCCCACCAGGCCGCCAGCCTCAGTCTCCCCAGCTGCACAGGGTAGCCCTATAGCCGGCAGAGGTCTTGCTGGTGGCTGCCAGGCCCCCCAGGCTCCGAAGGTGCAGCGGGTGGCCCAGGGAGCTGCCTGCAGTGAAGTGCAGCAGGACCAGCTGTGGCGGGAGCTCCTGGAAGCCGAGCGGAGGGGCCAGCAGCGCTGGTGAGTCCCTGCCCTCCCTTCTCCACCCTGACCCCGCAGCCTGACGGCAAGTTGGGGAAGCTTTTGGAGAAGGCGGGGTGGGTGGGGAAATGATCCGGGCTAAGGGACAGAGAGCGTGGCATGTCTGGAGGGGAGGTGGGGCACCAGCCCAGCCCCCGGCCAGACCCGAGCCTGAGCCTGGGAAGCGGGAAAGATGGAGGCCAGGGCCGGGTGCCGCTGGGTCAGGGCAGCCTCACCTGGTTCATTCCGACTGCGGGGAGGCCCGGAATCCCTGGAGCTGGAGCCTGCTGGTCTAGCCTGGGTGAGAGGCGCTGGCCGTCTGACCTGACTCCAGGGAAGGATGCTCCTTCATGCATTCATTCAACGAAAAATGCCCACGCGCTGCTCTGAAACGAGACCAGACTGCAACAGGGGACGAGACAGACCTGGCTGTGGCTCCATGGAGCCTTCATTCTCAGGACAGGGCAGCCAAAAGCAAGCAGAGAAAGAAACAAGGAAGGATGTGTATTTAGGGTGGGCAGCGGTAAGAAGGAAACAGTTGGCCGGGCGAGGTGGCTCACGCCTGTAATCCCAGCACTTTGGGAGGTCGAGGAGGGCGGGTCACGAGGTAAAGAGATTGATACCATCCTTGCCTACATGGTGAAACCCCATCTCTACTCAAAATACAAAAATTAGCCCGGCCTCGTGGGGCGGGCCTGTAGTCCCAGCTACCCGGGAGGCTGAGGCAGGAGAATCGCTTGAACCCGGCAGAGGTTGCAGTGAGCCAAGATCGCGCCATTGCACTCCAGCCTGGGTGACAGAGCGAGGCTGTCTCTAAAAAACAAAAAGAAGAAGAAGGAAACAGTTCAGGGTAAGAGGAGGGAGCCTGCTGAAGCTTCTCTGAGAAGGAGACGTTTAAGCTGAGACCTAAAATAGGAGAAGTAGCCAAGAGTTTGATGTATCTAACAAAAACAAAACAGAATTAGTGTAGCTGAGGCACAGGGAGGGAGGGAGGCGACAGGATGAGGGGGAGCCTGGGGGGGAGCCACGCCAGCCCTTATACAAGTCTGGATGTGTTTTTTCCAAAGAAGATACCATTCAGGATTTTAAGCAGGAGCATGGCATGATCATTTACATTTTTTAATGACCAGCCTGCTAGATTCTAGAGTGCATTCATCTTGCACAACTGAAACTTCATACCCGCTGGTTAGCAACTCCCTGTTCTCCCTCCCCCAACCCTCTGGCACCTTCTATTCTCTGCTTCCAGGAGTCTGTTTTCCTCATATAAATGGAATTGTGCAGTATTGTCTTTCCATGTCTGTCTCGTTGCTTAGCAGCCTGTCCTCCAGGTTGGTCCATGTTGCAGCATGTTACAGACTTTCCTCCCTTTTTAATATACGCAGTTTCCTTATTCATTTGTCAATGGACTTCTAGTTTGTTTCCACATTTGACTATTATAAATAGTGCTGTAGTGGACATGGGAGTGATTTCACTTCCTTTGGGTAAATTTTCCAAAGTGGATGTCTTAGTTCATTCTGCGTTGCTGTCAAGGACCCCCTGAGGCTGGGTAATTTATGAAGAGGCTTATTTGGCTCACAGTTCTGCAGGCTGTACAAGCATCGTGCTGGAATACGCTTGGCCTCTGGTGAGGGCCTCAGGAAGCTTAAGACAGAAGGTGAAGCTTAACGACAGAAGGTGAAGGAGGAGCGGGCATGTCTCATGGTGAGAAGGGGACCAAGAGAGAGGGGAGGGGTCGGGCTCTTTTTAACAAGCAGTTCTCTCCCGTGAACTAATAGAACAGAGCTCGTTCATCTCCGAAAGGAGGGCACCAACCCATTCATGATGGATCTGTTCCGTGACCCAGATACCTCCCACTAGGTCCTACCTCCAACACTAGGGATCACATTTCAATATGACATTTGGGGAGAACGAACATTCAAACCATGCCAGTGGACTTCAGGATTACACGGTGCCTCTACTTTTCATTTGTTGAGGAACCTCTGTTGTCTGTTCACAGCAGCGGCACCACTCTGCATTCCCATCAGCAGCATCCCAGCGGTCCGGTTTCTCCACACACTGGCCCACGCTCATTGATTGTCTTTCATTTTTTGATAACAGACATCCTAATAGGAGTGAGGTGGTCTCTTAGTGTGGTTTTTTTTGTTTTGTTTTCAGACGAAACCTCACTCTGTCACCCAGGAAGGAGTGCAGTGGCATAATCTTGGCTCACCGCAACCTCTGCCTCCCGGGTTCCAGTGATTCTCCTGCTTCAGCCTCCTGAATAGCTGGGATTACAGGTGCCCTCCACCATGCCTGGCTAATTTTTGTATTTCTAAGAGAGAGGGTTTCACCATATTGGCCAGGCTGGTCTTGAACTCGTAACCTCAGGTGATCCACGTGCCTCAGCCTCCCAAAATGCTGGGACTACAGGTGTGAGCCACTGTGTTCGATGTCATTGTGGTTCTGATTTACATTTCACTGATGATGAGTGATGTTGATCATCTTTTCATATATTTATCGGCCACTTATTTATCTTCGTTGGAGAAGTGTCTATTTGAGTCCTTAACCCATTTTTTTCAATTGGGTTATTCGGTTTTGTGCCACCAAGTTGTAGAAGTTCCTTATATATGTTGGAAATTAACCCCTTATCAGAAACACGGTCTGTAAATATCGTCTCCCATTCTGTGTGTTGCTTGTTCCCTTGCTCTTCGGAAGCTGTTTCGTTTGATGTAACTCCATCTGTCCATCTGTGCTTTTGTTGCCTGTGCTTCGTGTGGCATTTCCATGGAATAACTGCCAAGATCAATGGCATGACGCTTCCTCCTGTGTTTTTGAGTGTATTGGTATGTATCATGTAAGAGAGGATACAGTTTCATTCTTTTGCATGTGAAAAGCTTCTTCACAGCAAAGCCAACAATTAACAGAGTGAAAAGGCAACCTCCAGAATGGCAGAAAATGTTTACAAACTGAGCAGGTATGGGAGGAAAGGTGAGGAAGGAGTAAAGGATGACAGACCTCAGCTTGAATAATTAATAGAGAGGAGAAAAATGATGAAGATGCTGAGCTCTGGTGAGTTTTAAATGCCTGAACCATGTCTAGATGGAGCTTCCCAGGAGGTAGCTGAGTGTGAGTCACGAGTTGCGCATTAAAAACCCATACAGAAGGGGAGAATGCGGACTGACTGTGAATGGACACAGGTGTTTTGGGGTGATGAAATGTCCTGCAATCAGAAAGTGGTAACGACCACGCAGCTCCATGAATATACTAAAAGTCATTGAGTTGTGTGCTTTAAAAGGTGAATCTATGGAACGTAAATTATATCGCAATTTTAGAAGGAAACAGGTGGGCACTGGCCCCAGCAATGTGAATAAGCTTTCCCTAGAGTGCGATGGATCAGAAGAGGCAAGGACACAGGACAGAACTTGCAACATTTACTAGAAGGGCAGAGAAGCTGCCAGGAAACACCAGAGGAGAAAGCCAGGGGCACAGGGAGGCATAAAGACCAAGAGGAAAGAGTTTTGCAAGGCCTGGAACGCCCTAAGAGGGATGTGTTAGGCAGTGCTACCCCACAGAAATACCATGTGAGCCACACACATAGCTTAAATTTTCTAGTAACCTCCTTAAAAAAATGAAACAAGAGGCTGGGCACAATGACTCACACCTATAATCCCAGCACTTTGGGAGGCAGAGGTAGGCAGATCACCTGAGATCAGGAGTTCGAGACCAGCCTGGCCAACATGGTGAAACCCTGTCTCTACTAAAAATACCAAAATTAGCCAAGTGTGGTGGCAGACACCTGTAATCCCAGCTACTCTGGAGGCTGGGGCAGGGATAATTGCTTGAAACCAGGAGGCAGGGTTGTAATCAGCTAGATTGTGCCACTGCACTCCAGCCTGGGCAACAGAGCAAGACTCCATCTCAAAACAAAAAGGCAAAAAAACCTTATAGGAATAAAAATATATAAAGTTGAAATATAAGACACAACTGAAGTGAGATTTCATAAACTCAAGACAGGAAAAATTATTCAGAAAATCAAGACAGAAAACACAAAAGAAGAATTAAAAACCTAAAGAAACTGAACAAGAAGGTCCAAACTTTTGTTTTGTTTTGTTTTGTTTTGTTTTGTTTTTTAAGACAGAGTCTTACTCTGTTGCCAGGCAGGAGTGCAGTGGCATGATCTTGGCTCACTGCAACCTTTGCCTCCTGGGTTTAAGCAATTCTCCTGCCTCAGCTTTCCGAGTAGCTAGGACTACAGGTGCATGCCACCATGCCCAGCTAATTTTTGTATTTTTAGTAGAGACGAGGTCTCACCATGCTGGCTAGGATGGTCTTGATCTCTTGACCTTGTGATCTGCCTGCCTTGGCCTCCCAAAGTGCTGGGATTACAGGCGTGAGTCACTGCTCCTGGCTCATCCAATCTGTCTTTAAACAAAATTCCCAAAGGAGAGAATGGGAGACAGAAAATGTCTAAAGAGAAGGTGAGTGAGAATTTTCCAGAACCAAATAAATGCATGAGTCCACAGATGCTGGATTCTGTGCTCCCCCAAAACAGGTGTATTAACAAGAAAGGGAGACGTGGAATTCTGAAAGAGCAGAGTGCCAGCATGTTGGTGAAGGGACCAGCCTGTGATCTTGTGACATGGCCAAGCCAGTGGCAGCAAGAGGACACAGAGCTACCAAGAAGGTGTCTAAAAAAGGTTTTAAAGGAATGTTTATTATCTGATGCACATCACTGTGTAGTAAGTAATATTGAGAGAGACTTTTCAGTTTTGTTGGAGCATCTGGAATCAATGGATCAGTACATAGAAGCCTAAAAAAAGGCTAGGTATGGTGGCTCACACCTGTAATCCCAGCACTTTGGTACGCCAAGGTGGGCAGATCACAAGGTCAGGAGTTCAAGACCAGCCTGGCCAACATGGTGTAACCCTGTCTCTACTAAAAATACTAAATATTAGCTGGGCATGGCGGTGCATGCCTGTAATTCCAGCTACTCGGGAGGCTGAGGCAGGAGAATCTCTTGAACTGGGATCCAGGGGGGATGGAGATTACACTGGGCTGAGATTACACCATTGCACTCCAGCCTGGGCGACAGAGTGAGACTCCATCTCAAAAATAAAAATAAAAAAAACTTAAAAAAGTAAAAAAGCCTAAAAAAATTAGGAGGAAATGTAATTCTTAGCTCTAGAAAGAATACAAGGTTAGTACAAGAAAAGAATTCGGATGTATTGCACTCCTTAGCTCATCAGCGAATAACATTTACATAATCATAAAAATCTAAACAATGTTATAATATTTATCAATTTAACCAAGAGCTATAATTATATTGAAAGAATTAGGGGAAGGCCAGGAGAAGAATGCTAACGCTTCATCTCTCATAATAGAAAGTTGATAGATAAGTTTAAATTTTTAAAAATATGGCCAGGCATGGCTAGCTCACGCCTGTAATCCCAGCACCTTGGGAAGGCAAAGTGGGTGGATGATGAGGTCAAGAGATTCAGACCATCCTGGCCAAGATGGTGAAACCCTGTCTCTACTAAAAATACAAAAATTAGCTAGGTGTGGTGGTGCATGTCTGTAGTCCCAGCTACTCAGGAGGCAGAGGTTGCAGTGAGCTAAGATTGTGCCACTTCACTTCATCCTGGGCAACAGAGTGAGACTTGGTCTCAAAAAATTTTTTTAATATTAAGAAACAGCAGCTGATATAGTTTGGATCTGTGTCTCCACCCAAATCTCAAGTTGAATTGTAATCCCCAGTGTTGGAGGTGGGGCCTGATGTAAGGGGATTGGATCCTGGGGCCAGTTTCTCTTTAATGGTTTACACCATCCCCATGGTACATCCTCACAGTAGCGAGTTCTCAGCAGATGCTGTTCTTTTAAAGTGTGTGGCACCTCCCTTCTCTCTCTCTTGCTCCTGCTCTGGCCATGTGACCTGCCTGCTGCCACTTTGCCTTCGGCTATGATTGTAAGCTTTCTGAGACCTCCCCAGAAGCTAAGCAGATGCCAGCATCATGCTTCCTGTACAGCCTGTGGAACCGTGAGCCAATTAAACCTCCTTTATAAATTACCCAGTCTCAGGTATTCTTTATAGCAAAGCAAGAATGGGGTAATACTGCAGCAGAATCATATTATTTCAAAAGATAGAAGCAAAATGCCTGATGAAATAGCTGAAAGACTGGAAATGGTTTGACTCTAGGATGTGGGGGGCTCAGGGACTGTGAGGATGGGGGCAGAGAAGGCTGTTTTTATTATTTTGTGTAGAAGTGTTTGACTTTTTAAAGATAGATTCAAATTAAATGGCCAGTGCAAGGTCATATCATTCTTACAGTCATCCTCCGTCCCTTTTCCCACCCCTCCCTAACCTTCCTCTGTCACTCACGTTGGAAGGTTACAAAGGTTTGGCAGCATGAAAACTGTTTTTCCTTCAGAGAATCCTTGCTTACTGAAGCCTTCTGAAAATGCACAGACGCAGGGAGAGGTTGTAGCCTTTGCTCTCCTTTGGCAGCCCACCATAGCAACACCATAACTGTCATTGTAGGAAAAGTCATTGGAAATTGAAATGTTTGTTCCTTTCATAGGATACACCATAAATATCTGCTTGACACTTGGCATTTGTTTCACTTAAAAATTATTTAGTTCTGGGTAGGCACAGTGGCTCATGCCTGTAATCCCAGCACATTCGGAGGCCAAGGTGGGTGGATCACCTGAGGTCAGGAGTTCGAGACCAGCATGACCAATATGGTGAAACCCCATCTCTACTAAAAGTACAAAAGTTAGCTGGGCGTGGTGGCTTGTACATGTAGTCCCAGCTACTCGGGAGGCCGAGACACGAGAATTGGGGAGGTAAAGGTTGCAGTGAGCCGAGATTGTGTCACTGCACTCCAGCCTGGACAACAGAGCAAGACTCCCTCTCAAGAAAAAAAAAAAAATTCTTTAGTTCTCCATGTGCTACATTGCTGCATTGACTTGACCCAGTGAAAGTCATTTGTAAAAATGCCCCAGAAGGCACTCACACAGCCAACATGTTTTTCCTTTCCAGGGTTCAGAACTGGAGTTTCCTGAAAGACTATGACCCAATGGTAAGGTAAAATATGTTTCTGCCAAACATACTTCCAATTGAATATTTATTCATTCTTGCCATCATTCAACTAACATTTACTGAAGATCTACTCTGCACTAGATGTTGGATGTACAGAGATGAGTAAAATACACTCTCGTTTCAAGGAATGCAGGGTCAGTGGGAAAGAAAACATGTATATGAAGATATGAAGCATTTAGAAATTTGTTTCTTTCAGTGTTTCTTAATTTTATTAAGATGAACCAATTGGAAGTGACAGGCATCTGAAATATCTCCCCTGACTGAGGATGGCAGCAATGTGTAGTCATAATTCTGTGGTGTGCCCAAAGAGGACAATGAAATTGGATAAAAATACTGTATAAATTAATTCCCTGACTCTAGTATCACCACCTCCAATCCACCGTCCACTGTGCCACCAGAGTAACTTCCCTGAACTGCAGAACTGGCCATGTAGCTCCCCTGATTAACATGCTTCAGTAAGTCTGAAATTTTCAGGGTAGCTTACAAAGCCTCCTGTGATCTAACACCATCTATCTCCCCTCATTACCCACTCCACACTGACCCCACAACACAGTTGTTGTTGTTGTTGCTGTTGTTTTTAGATGAAGCCTCCCTCTGTCACTCAGGCTGGAGTGCAGTGTCATGATCTCGGCTCACTGCAACCTCTGCCTCCCAGGTTCCAGTGATTCTCCTGCCTCAGCCTCCCGATTGGCTGGGACTAAAGGTGCACACTGCCACATCCAGCTATTTTTTTTATAGTTTTAGTAGAGATGAGTTTTCGCTGTGTTAGCCAGGATGGTCTCGATCTCCTGACCTTGTGATCTACTACCTGCCTCGGCCTCCCAGAGTGCTGGGATTATAGACATGAGCCACCATGCCTGGCCATTTTTTTTTTTTTTTTTTGAGATGGAGTCTTGCTCTGTCATCCAGGCTGAAGTTCAGTGGTACAATTTCAGCTCGCTGCAACCTCCACCTCCTGGATTCTAGAGATTCTCCTGCCTCAGCCTCCCAAGCAGCTGAGATTATAGGTGCACTCCACCATGCCTGGCTAATTTTTGTGTTTTTAGTAGAGACGGGGTTTCACCATGTTATCCAGGCTGGTCTCGAACTTCTGACCTCAAATGATCCAACTGCCTTGGCCTCCCAAAGTGCTGGGATTATAGGCATGAGCCACTGCACCCAGGCCCCACAACACACTCTTTTATCCATGCCTTTGGGCATGCACCTTCCCTGCTGAAATGTCATTCCCACCTGGTCAGTCTGATGGGCTCCTATTCACTCTTCAAGACCCAGCTCTAGTGCCCCCTCTTCTGGGTAATCTCCCCTTCCTGGGCAGGCTTGACCAGATCACTCCTTCCTTTGATTCACCAGTATATCTCACCTGTTATTTCAGTACTGCATGTAATGTAATACTGCAATGCCCAATTTCACCAGCTGTGAACTCCTTAAAAGAAAGGATGAAGCCGGGAGTTGTGGCCCATGCATGTAATCCTAGCACTTGGGGAGGCAGAGGTGGGAGGATCACTTGGGCCCATGAGTTCAAAACCAGCCTGGGCAACACAGGGAGACCTCATCTCTACAAAAATGACAAATTTTTTTTAAAAAGAGAAAAGATGAATATGAATTCATCACTGCACCCTACCACAACCCTAGCTGCCCCATCCCCCAGAGACCATAACAGAGTGAATATTCAGTTCATGCTGGATGAATGAGTGAATGGAAAGATAGATCTCACTGTAAAAAAGATGGTCGTGGTGGCTTGTGCCTATAATCCCAGCACTTTGGGCAGCCGAGGCAAGCAGAACACCTGAGGTCTGGAGTTAGCGACCGACCTGACCAACATGAAGAAACCATGTCTCTACTAAAAATACAAAAATTAGCCAGGCATGGTGGTGCATGCCTGTAATCCCAGCTATTCAGGAGGCTGAGGCAGGAAAATCACTTGAACCCGGGAGGCGGAGATTGCAGTGAACCGAGATCCCACCATTGCATGGCCAAAGAACCAACCTGGAGGAAGAGCAATGTGGAAAGTCACTTGCTGGGTTGGCCATGCTGACACGGACCTTGCCAGGCTGAGGGAAGGTTTAATGCTCGCACCGTGGCCCTGCTGGGCTTGTTGCTGTCTATTCTGGAGGGAAAATTCAGCTCATGGGACCTGATAGCCTGCCCTGTGCGTCTTGCCTGGGCTTCCAGCCTGTAAGAGTCTCTCCCTGCTAAGGGCTATGTGATAGCAACCTGACTACTGAAAACTGCATCATGGCCAAAGGGTGGAGCCACCTCGGCATGCACTTTGCCAGGTAACAGCCAGGATCTCCTTACCTGACAGGTCATGTCACTTCTATCAGACACAGGGTAGCAGAAACGTATCCCTAAGCAGGAGCAGGAAGAGCTGAGGATGTTTTCTCACTTAGATAGATAGATAGATAGATAGATAGATAGATAGATAGATAGATAGATTGATTGATGAGACATGGTCTCACTCTGTTGCCCAGGCTGGAGTGCAGTAGCATGATCATGGCTCACTGCAGCCTCAACCTCCTGGGCTCAAGTGATCCTCCCACCTCAGCCTCCTGAGTAGCTGGGACTACATGCATGCACCACCACACCCAACTAATTTTGTATTTTTTGTAGAGACGGTATCTCACCATGTTGCCCAGACTGGTCTGAATCTTTCCACCTAGGTTTCTCAAAGTGCTGAGATTAAAGGCATGAGCCATGGTGCCTGGCCATCAAATTATATTTACTCATTAATTCATGCATGCATCCATTACAGAGTTCACCCAAAGGCATGTTCCCATATGCCCAGAACAGCACTACCCATAAGAGCCCCAAACTAGAGTCAACCCAAGAGTGATCAGTGGTGATACAGGTGAATAACTTGTGGGATATTCACACAGTTCCCACCATGGAGTAACATACAGCACTGGGAATAAATGGACAGCAATCACACACAAAATGTGAATGAATCTCACAAACACAATGTTGAGAGAAAGAAGCCAGACAGAAGAGCCATGATTCCCCTAATGTTGAGTTCAAAGCCAAGCAAAACTAATGTGTGGCATTACAGGTCAGGATCAGGTTGCCTTGGAAGCCGAGACAGTGGCTGAGGGGCTGAAAGGAGGTGGGGGGAGGTGATCATATCCCTTGATCTTGTTGGGCACATGGGCATCTTTGTGAACATTTGTCAAACTGGACAGTGGTGACCTGTGTACTTTTCCATGTGAATGCTATACTCTAAGTACAAATCTACAAAAAAAAACAAAAAACAAAAAAACAACGAATCAAAACCTCCCACCAGATGTAAAGCACTGTCTTAGTCATGAGGATAGGAAAGGGAATAAGATCTGGTGCTTCTCTTGATCTCTGCAGGTTGCAGCATAAAAGCTAAAGGGATCTGGGAGGCACCCAGGGAGCGGGATGGGGAGGAAGGGGAGGGCAAGCTTGGCAGAGGCCATGGCGGGTCACTCTTGAAGGGTCCCAAGTCCAAAAGAGGATTGAATCACCTGGAAACGCTTCACACAGAGCGGCACCTGCTCTCTGTGCGGTCCTCTCCCACCCTACGGTCCACCTTTTTTCAAGCTCTGTGTGACAGGAGCTGTCCCCTCTTCTCAGGGCAATAAGAAGGAGCCTGAGAAGCTGCCAGACCATGTTCCTCTCTTTTCGGATACAGTCCCCAGTTCCACGAACCGGGTTGTGGGCAGCAGGCTGGACACGCCCCTGGGACAGACCCTCATCCACATGGACTTCTTCTTCACAGAAGGGGTCCGGAAGAAGAAGCTGGAGGAGGAGATGCAGCCCATCTAGGAGCAAGGAGGGCTGGCTGGCCTTCCTCAGGTCGGCGTGGGTGGGAACCAGAGATCCGGCCCACGACAGCACCAGTCAGCTCCCCACACAAGGCAGCTGGGGCTGCACTGTCTCTAAGCTGCAGGACACCCTTCCAGAAGGCTCCACTGGGTCATTCTTACACTTTTTACACGTGAGATTCAGAGGACTCAGTAACCCGTCCACGGCCACACAACCCCCAGCCCTTCCAGCTCGGGAACCCCTGGGTGCCCCACGAAAGGGACCCTGCACTGCGGTCGGGGGCACTGAATGCCACGGTTCAAGTCCAGCGCGTGACTCTGATGAGCTGCGGAACCTGGAGCTGGCTACTGCAGCAGCCGCTGCTGTTCCTCCGTCTCCTCTCCCGTGATACGGTGTGTTCACTCCTTGCAGCTGCTGTGACAAGTGACCGCAAACTATGTAGCTTAAAACAACACAAATGTATCATCTTACAGCTCTGAAGATCACAACTGCGACATGGTGTCACTGGGCCAAAGTTGACATGTTGCAGAGCTGTGCTCTTTTAGGAGGATCTGGGGAAGAATCTATTTCCACTTTTTTTCCGGTTTCTCAAGGCAGCCTGCATTCCTTAGCAGCTCCTTACTCCGTCTTCAAAGCCAGCATTCTAGCATCTTCAAATCCAGTCTCTATCATTCTCTCTCTCTCTCCTGCCTCCCTCCTTCATCTTTTCTCTCCCTCCCTTCCTCCCCCCCTCTTTTTTCCTCTTTCTTTCTCTCTGTCTCTCTGTCTCTCCCTCTCTCTCTTTCTTTTTTTCAGACAGTGTCGTCCTCTGTCAGCCAGGCTGGAGGACAGTGGTGTGATTATAACTCACTGCAGCCTCACACTCCCAGGCTCAAACAATCCTCCCACCTCAGCTTCCCAAGTAGCTAGGAATATAGGCATATGCCACCATGCCTGGCTGATTTTTTAAATTTTATGTAGAGATGGGTGCCTCGCTATGTTGCCCTGGCTGGTCTTGAACTTTTGGGCTCAAATGATCCTCCCACCTTGGCCTTCCAAAGAAACTGGGATTACAGGCATCTGGCTTCACTCCTCCATCTTTTCAGGAACCTCGTGATTACATCCCAACCTTCATATTTAAGCGAAAAGCGCAGAAAAGGCATAGTTCCTCTTTGTTGGTTAAAATGCAAATGGATTCATTCTTTCAAACATCCACATTCTCCTCTTCTTCCGGGCACTCTGCTAGGCTGTGTTTTCCCTGGGTTTGGGTGGAGCATGTGACAGAGCCATGGCCAGCGGAGGGGGAGCAAAAACCTCAGGTCTCCCTTCCAGGCCTGGTCCATGAGACACTCCAGGTATTGGCTTGTTTTCCTTTCCCCATCAGCTGAGGAAGGGAGAGGACTTGGAGGATGTGGGGAAGGGAGGGGCACAGGATGGAGGAGTACATCCGGCCCAAGCTTGGAGCCCTGAGTGAGCTCGTGGAGCAGAACCTCCCTCCACTCACATTGGGCTGGGAGAGGAGTAAACAAATGCCTTTTGTGTTCGGGGAAACAAACATACAAAATAAACAAAAACTGACCAAAGCCAAAACAATAGCCCACATCTCTAGGGTAAAGCATTTTAAACGCATCTTCTCAACAACCCAAGGGAATAAACAGGCAGGGATTTCATATTCATTTAACACAAGCAAAACCTGAGATCCAGAGAGGTGAAATAAAATCCCAAACATACATGAATCCCAGGCCTCAAGCTTGAAGCCCAGTGTCCTCTGTGGGACCCCAGCTGTGGCCTCCTAAAATGAGAGGAAAATGGGGCAGGGGCTGAAATGACTGCTCTTTGATGCTTGCTTGGGTCTTATTCAGCAGTAGCTAAACGTCAGTTATTTGCATATATTAACTCATTTAATCCTCTCAGCAGCCCTTTGAGATAGCTACTCCTATGATAAGGCAACTAAAACACAGAGAGGTTAAATCACTTGCACCAGGTCACACAGCTGGCAAGTGGTGAAGCTGAGGTTCAGACTCGGCAGTTGAGTCTGACTCCGAAAGCTGTATACTTAAGCACTATGCTATATGGGTCCCCTTTAATCCTCAATAAATTGTTTTCCCAAAATTTAGCAAATCATAGGAGTTTTCTGCTTCAGAAAGTGTCTTGATCCTTAAGAAAGGGAAAATTAATTTTTCCAATCCCTGGGATCCCTCCTACCACCAAGAATAGGTCATCGATGTTACCAGGAGTTACACAGGACACGCTATTTCCATGCCACACGCAGCCCCTGTGCTTCATGCCACACCCTGGCCCTGTGAGAGTGTGTGATGGAGTCGACCAGGCCCAATGTGACTCGGCCAGGAAGAGACTCAGGTAGGCCAACAGGGCACACCCTTCCTATTTGGATCTGGAGGCCACTGCCTTCTTTCTCAGTGTCTGAGATGGAAGCTGGGCTCCTTTCCACTCAGATTATCATCTGGGCAAAGGTCAGTGGCCAGGACAGCCAGGGGTCCTGGTTGCATCCTGGCAGCATCCCTTGAAGGTCAAGTGCTTGCCCTTGGGCTGGGCCGATACAAAGATGCTGGAGGGTCCTTAAAGACCCAATCTGCGTTTTTGCGATGAGCCTGCCTTATATTATTTTCACACACAAAATAAAGACAGATTTCCATCTGTGGGAGAGAGAGGTACAAGAAAAGTCAAGGTTAAGGATGGTTGCAGGTGGTCAGGCCTGTGCAGAGAGAAGGGGATCACTGAGTGCCCTGGAGGGCAGTGAGGAGAGCCAGGGGCCTGCGCGGGTTCTGCCTCTCCTGGAAGCACAGCCACTTACAGACGGTGCAGCCTATAGGAACAGACTCTGTGCTTGGCACTTTACCCACATAGTATCTTTTGCACATATTATAATTGTCACCATTTGAGAAGTTTAGAAACTAAGCCAAAGCCTTCACGCAATCTGGTCAGGGTCACGTTACTAGTGAAGACCAGGATCCATCTCCATGCTGCCTTCCCCGCTCCAGGCCTCAGTCTCCACAGTTACAAAACAGGGGGAGGAGAGAAGGAGACAGATTTAAGGGCATCTCCAGCTCCAGGATCTTCTTTGAGCATTCAGGGAGTACTGAAGAACGAAGGGGCTTGGGTTCTTTTGCAGAGTGCATTAGTCAGCTGTGACAATGCCGTGTGACAAAACACTCCCTTCCTTGCTCGCAGGTCTGAGATTGGCTAGACTTGGCTCCACACTTCAGGCTAGTGAAGTCTTTTGTGCATGTCTCTTGTTCTCTTGGACGGAAAGCCTCCTGGGGCATGTTTTTCTCATGGCACATCACTAGGTCGCAAGGGCCCAACCGAACCATGCAAGCACACTGAAGGCTTCTGCAAGCAGAACTGCTTTCTGTACTCTGCAATGACCTGTCTCATGCCAAACCCCTCCTCACAACCAGCCCCAACCACCTTCTGCTCCTTGCCACATCTGCCTTCCTTTCAAGAAGATGTCAGCTTCTAACCTTCCCTGTCTCACCCACTGGGAGCCCAGGAAACAAGGACAGAGAGGCATTTGCAGTGAAATCCCAATGCCAGCCTCTCACCTCATTTGGGCCGGAACACAGGAGGGTAGATGGGCCAGGAGGTGGTGAAGAAGAGGGCACCAAGCCTGCAGGGTCAGCACTAGCAAAAGGAAAAGGGGGCATTACCCATAAAGAGATGGGCACTTGGAGACCGAGGGCCAGGAGGCAGCAGGGCTTCGTGAAAGGGCTGGAATCCGGAGCTGAGAGCCGCAGCGAGCCTGGAGGGATACTTGCTTCACTTCTAATCGCTGCTCCTCTGAGCACCTCTGCTTCTCTCTCCTGTCTGTAGCAGAACCAGCGTCTCTGCTTCCAGGTGACAAAAAATGACCTCCGTCGATAGAAGTACGAGGTGCGCCTGGAGGAACTTCCTGTGCCAGAAACTAAGGCACATTCAAAAAATGAGGATATGGAAAAGGAATAAAGGACCAACCTAAATTTGGGACAACATGAGCGTCAAAATGAAGAACGACGGCTGGGCGCGGTGGCTCAAGCCTGTAATCCCAGCACTTTGGGAGGCCGAGGTGGGTGGATCACGAGGTCAAGAGATCGAGACCATCCTGGTCAACATGCTGAAACCCCGTCTCTACTAAAAATACAAAAAAACAAGCTGGGCATGGTGGTGCGTGCCTGTGATCCCAGCTACTCAGGAGGCTGAGGCAGGAGAATTGCCTGAACCCAGGAGGCGGAGGTTGCGGTGAGCCGAGATTGCGCCACTGCACTCCAGCCTGAGTAACAAGAGCGAAACTCCATCTCAAAAAAAAAAAAAAAAAAAAAAAAAAGAAGAACGATAATAGCCCCCCCAACCGCGCCCATGATCCTCCCAGCCAGTGCCCACAAGCCCCACCAAATAACGTTAATCATAATAACAGGCCGGGCACAGTGGCTCACGCCTGTAATTCCAGCACTTTGGGAGCCCGAGGCGGGTGGATCACAAGGTTAAGAGATTGAGACCATCCTGGCTAACATGGTGAAACCCCGTCTCTACTAAAAATACAAAAAATTAGCCAGACATGGTGGTGTGTGCCTGTAGTCCCAGCTACTCAGGAGGCTGAGGCAGGAGAATTGCTTGACACTGGAAAACGGAAATTGCAGTGAGTCAGGATCACGCCACTGCACTCCAGCCTGGCGATAGAGTGAGACTCAGTCTCAATAATAATAATAACAATAACAAAGAATCCATTAGTTCATACCAACAGATTTTTATGAAATTTTAAGTACTAGTGAAAACTCTTTTCTGTTGAAGAGTGCAGAATAAATGGTAACAGAAAAATCACCATTGAATGACCCACAGCGATCACGGTAGTGTTGTGAGGAGGGGTTTGGCAAGATGATATGTCATTGCAGAGTACAGAAAATTCATTCTTGATTTAGGCAAGAATCAATAAAAGACACTAAAATGATTGAGTGAAAGATTCTTAAGGAATGGTAAATGCTGAAATCTAGAAGATACTGCCTTAACCAAACTATCGATCCAAACCTCATCAATAACAGAGCAGCTGACTCCAGGCTCCCCCTGGTGTGGTTCACTGAGGACCACTCGCCTAGGAAGCACTGCTGCCAAAAAAAAAAAAAGAAAGTAACCAGAGTATAATCAGGAAGAAGCTCTGGGCAAACCCAAATTGAGAAGCATTCCACCAAAGAGTTGGCCTTGATTCTTCAAGAACGTCCATGTCTGCTGGGCATGGTGACTCACGCCTGTAATGCCAGCACTTTTAGAGGCTAAGGTGCGTGGATTGCTTGAACTCAGGAGTTCGAGACCAGCCTATACAATGTGCTAAAACCACGGTCTCTACTAAAAATACAAAAAAATTAGCCAGGTGTGGTGATGCATGCCCGTTGTCCCAGCTGCTTGGGAGGTTGGTGTGGTAGAATCACCCAAGCCCAGGAAGTCAAGGTTGCAGTGAGCTGTGATCTCGCCACTGCCCTCCAGCCTGGACGACAGAATGAGACCCTGTTTCGGAAGAAAAAAAAAAAAAAAAAAAAAGTCAGTGTCAAAAGACAAAGGAAGGCTGGGGAAGTGATTCAGCCCCTGATCCTTGACTGGCTCCTGTGTCAAAGCAAAAGAACTCTAAGTCAGGTGTGGTGACTCACACCTATAACCCCAGCACTTTGGGAGGTCAAGATGGGTAGATCACAAGGTCAGGAGTTCAAGACCAGCCTGGCCAAA